TGTTGTAAGCCGCCCCAAGGCTTCGGCAAGGGGCGGCATAGAAATGTTCTAATAATAATAATAATAATAATAATAATAATAATAATAATAATGGTTCACTCACTCTGCAGGCTGAAGTGATGGCCACCAGGAAAGAATTTTCCATGAGACAAGGCAAAGGTCAATGGTTGTGAGCGGTTCAAATGGTGCAACATGATAGACAGACTCCACCAGGGGACCATCGATCAGACAGGAGGTTTTAGGTTGCAGAGAGCTTTCATGAATCGCCATGAAAGGGGTGGGAAAAGGTTGAACAGCCCTCAATAGGACCCCAGAAGGTGGAAACTGCAGACAAGTACACCTTGACAGAGCTAGGGTTTAGTCCCTTTTGGTGTAGGGAGTGCAGGTACTCCAGTATCTTTCGTATGGATGCCATGTTTCTTCATACAACTCCTGAATTTGGCCCATCTGGTGGAATAAGAGTGCCTAGTGTTAGGACACAAGGCTGTTTGTAAGATGGCTTGGATTTGAGGGTCCAAGTCAGTAATTGTGGCCATTAAGTAATCGGCCATGCCTTCGGGGGAAGTCTTAGAATACTGAGTTGTAGAGGTTTCACTTTCCTCTGGGATGTTTGTTTGGGAATGTTGGCTGGGAATGTTGGCTGGGTGTAGGAGCTTGTAACTGGAGAGGGTTTAAGGTAGTAGTTGTGGCCGTTAAATGATCAGCCACACCATCAGGTGACGCCTTTGAACACAGAGGTACAATATCCTCCCTTGTGCCTGGGACAGTACATTCGGTGTAGGAACATGTGATTGGAGAGTTGTAGCAAGGATGGAAACCAGGCCTGCCTGAGCCACCATGGCATTACAAAGATGCAATGAATTCTTTCCATTCTCATTTTGTCCTCATGAGTCCTCATGAGTCCTCAATAGTTCTTATAATCAATGGGAACAGTGGAAAGCTGTAGGAAAGGGTCCTCATCCATGAAATGGAAAGGCACCTCCCAAAGAGTTGTTGCAAATTCCTGCTCTGAATGCTGCATGCAGCATTCTCCTCTGTGACAAAGAGATCTGCGGACAGGGTGCCTCATACAGCAAAAATGTTGTTCCTGACCTCCGCATTCAGTTCCCATTCATGCATCTGGAATGGGCTTTGGCTGAGCCTATCTGCTGTCCTGTTGTGCATGCTCACCATATGGACCTCTCTATCAGTGAGTATGGAGTGCTCTGTGTGGTCTTCCCTGCGTGGATTCGACGATGGAATTCGGGCATGGAAGGTGCAGTAGGTAGGGTATGTCTCTCTCCTGTACCTGGTACATCCCTTCCAGTCAGGGGGAGGTCAGGCGTGGCTGGCGGTGTAGTTCCCAGGGTTCCTACATCACTCTGGCCAATGTTGGTATGAACAGTATTGCTACCAAAACCAAGTTCTCTGTCCAGACCACATCGTAAATGAGGTTTTTATTAGGCTCTGTAACCTGTTCAACTCGGATGCCTAATAACCTGGCCATCTGAAGGACTTGCTCAAAGAAGTAACTAAGGCTTTCCCCTAGGGTTCCCGGGCCTTGGAAGGAGACAATATTATCTGGGGATATAAGAGACAGGTTCCACAGAATGTGCATGCATGTCTGAAACCAATATGTAATCCATAGGATCCAAAGAAGTGGATCCAGACAATGGAGCAGGCGATCTTTGGGCACCTCCAGGCTGTGGTTGAGCGACTCCTTGGAGATTCTGAGAAGTGCCTGGCTTGTCTTCAGCATGGTGGACCAAACATGGTGGGGACAAGTGCTACAACAACCTGGCACGAGTTGCTGACCATGCATATTCATGAGGATCTGGAGCACTTTCCCATGCATATCTGGGAAATTAATGTCCCAGGAAAGGGTATGCACTCCAGTACAGGTTTCTCCTGTACACATGGGCCATCGGTTTGAAACTTCAGAAAGTGTGGTAGATGGAGATCAGTGACAGGTTGGTTGAAGCAGGACTGAATGGATGGGATATGCAAGGCGCTGGTTTCATATCTGCCTTGCAACATGGTGTGTGTACCAATCTGGTTGGAATGGTTGGGGAATTGACTGGTGAGTTGTGTTATCTCCCCTTTGGAGAAGGATGTCAGTCCCATCAGCTCAGGTTGGACAAATCAAGCTGGAATTGGAGGAAGACAGGATGGAGAGGCTCAAGATGGTAGCATGGCCAGTGTGGATGAGGTAGTCAAAGCCACTGGATGGGCAGGAGAATGCTCAGAATGAGTCAGTAGATGGTGTCTTGCTCTCTTTGCAGGCTTAAGCTTGCAGTCTTTTTAGCCTCCTTATGGCCCTCAGTCTCGAGGTGCTTGTGTTTCTTCTAGTGCATCTTAGACAAATTGGAAGCGGTCAGTTGTTTCGAAGCCACTGAGTTCACCTTTTGCATGCCTGGAGCACTGGAAGGTGGTTGCTTTTTTGTGGTCTCTTTTGAAGTTGATGGGTGGTAACATTGCCAGCAACATCCTTCATAGTGATGAGTGCACACTCCCACATTTCCATTTTAAGGCAACCACCCCTGTTCTTTCAGGCATGCTTAGTGAAGGCCCAGCAATGTGGGCATTTGCCCACATGATGTTCCTCCCTCAAGTAGAAGAGGTAAAAGAAATGGCCATCAGTAGATGACATTTTCACTCCACACTCCATGTACTTGTGAAATGATGGTTTGAATACCATTGAGAGAGAAAGGAGATAATTAGAGATGGTAAGGATTGTTGAGAAGAGAGATGATAGAAGGGTTTTTTATTTTTGAGGAAACAAGGCGGGATGTAAAAATGGGGAATATGTGAACAAAGGAGGGCAGAAAGGTGGCAGAAAGTCAAGAAGAGGTAAGGATTAGAGCAGGGGTCCTCAAACTTTTTCAACAGGGGGCCAGTTGAAAGGTGCCAGCAGCGGGCACGGGCCAGCAAGGCAGTGCCAGCAGGGGCACGGGCCAGAGGCATGCGGTGAGATGGGGGCGCACAGCGAAGTGGGGGTGGGGGCGCAAGGCGGGGGCAGGGGCAGGGGTGCTTGGCAAGGCAGTGGCAGGCACGTGCGGTGAGGCAGCAGCTTGCTTGCATGGAGATTGTTTTCTCCAAGAGAGTCCAAAACGATCTCCATGTGAGCAAGCGGGCGCAGTAAGTCCAAAACCTCTGAGGCGAGCCAGATAAATGGGCATGGTGGGCTGGATCTGGTCCGCGGGCCATAGTTTGAGGACCCATGGATTAGAGAATTAAAGCTGTAAAGAAACAAGTCTGAGGTAAATGAACAGAATTAGAGATACCGAGGCACTGCAAATAGTGGTCGAAAGTACACTGAGAAAATGGTGAGCCCTGCCTATTTATATAATGGGGCAGGGCTCCCACCAAAATTTCTAGACTTAGTTAGAAGAATCTTCCTGAACATAGGTGCAGTGCAGAATTCATACGTTTGATGCACAGAGACCACAAAGAAGAAAAAAGGTCTTTACTTGGCGCCGAAAAGAATAAAAAATAGGCACTAGGCACACTTCTTTGGGTAGCCTGTTTCACAGTCAAGGTTCCACAGCTTCTCCTGGTACCCACTGTTAGTAGCCCGTTTCATCCAAGAGTGCTTGGCACTATTCAGCTACCACCTGCTCAAACACTTTGCCCAGGAAGGGAATGTTGGCCACAGGCCTATAACTGTTAGCATCTTCTGGGTCCAGATTAGGCTTTTTCAGGAGTGGCTTAATTATAGCCTCCTTTAAAGAGGCTGCCACCACTTTCTCTCTGAACGAGGCATTTATAGGCTCCTGGACCCAAGTCCAAATCCCCTCTTTTGTTCTAATATAACAGGCTATGACAAGCAAGCAACAACAACATGGGAAGACTTGACCAAGCACCTGTCCACATCCTCAGGTGAAGCTCATCCAGTAAAACTGGAGCAGAGCTGCATTAACTGTGGTGCCAAATTTGTGATATAATCAAGCAACTTTATCTTCAAAGTGCTGCGCAAATTCATCACAGCAAATGACGAAGGGTTACAAAGTTACTTTCTCTGACCCAGACTGTAGCAGGGCACAAAGCACTTGAAAGACCTCTGCTCAATGACACTGAGAAGACACAATGATGGTGGGAAAAAACTGCCTCTTTGCCTCTCTCACCACCATGGAGTAAGTTCAATAGTAAGCTCTAACCTGTGTTCAACTGGACTCAGCAGGAATTTTGCTCTGCCTGTGCTCCAGCTCTCTTCTTGCTTCACTGCCCTCAACTCAGGTATATACCAAGGAGCTAGCCAGTCTGTGCTCAAGGGAAGAGGTCACTTGGGTGCAATCATGTCAACTGCCTGGGCCATTTCAGGATTCCACAGAGCAGCCTGGGCTTCAACAGCAACACCAGTCATATCAGACCAGAGCCCTCTGGAAACCATTAGGATTTATTAGCCTCCAGTGGCGGACCATTTTGAAAGTTCCCCCAACCTTGCAGAGGGGAAAAGGAGTCAAAAGTCTAAATTGAAAAACAAAGTGGTCTGACCATGAAAAGGGAGTTAATGTTAATCCCCCGGCTTCCAGATCACCATTCTCCTGCCCAATCAAGAAAACCAAGGCAAAAGTGTATCCCTTAGACATGCATTGTGCTGGTGATAAGCTGAGACAACCCCATGGTTGGCATGGCAGCCATGAAGTCTTGAGCTACCCTGGATAAAGTAGCCTTGGCATGGAAGTTAAGATCCCCCAGAACCATCATTCTAACGGGCCTCAACACCAAGTCCAAGACCATATTCCTCAGCCCAGGCAGGGAAATTGATGGGTAGCAGGGTGCAAATCCCTAATCTGTCTTGAGCACCCAGCACAAGGTACAAATATTCAAGACCCACCTTTGAGCGAACAGAAAGCCTAGAGAAGGAGATCATATTCCTATAGAACACAGTCAACCCCCTCCCCAGCCACTGAGTCAATGCTGGTGCTATACTGAGCACCCAGGTGTCTACAGCTGAGAGAGAATATGTCCTCCGATCTCACCACCTCTATAATGCAAACCAGGTCAGCCCTCTCATGCACAATCAGATCATGAACTAGGAAGATCCAATTATGGGCTGACCTTGTATTCAGCAAAACCACCATGGGACCCAAGGGCAAATTGGTAACAGCTGGGGGGAAAACCAAAAGAGGGAATAGCTATACAGTATCTAGCCCCTCTTCTCCTTCCCCGCTTCTTCTCCATTATGCTCCCAGTGTTTTTAGCCTTGAATCAAGAAGATTATGCTAAGAACCGAAGATAAGTGCAAATCTCCACAAGCTGAGTCACAATACAGCATATAACAAGCAGTGGTCTGAGAACACATTCTAGTAGACAGAAAGCTTTACAGATATGTATCCTGTTTCACTGACCTCTCGCAGGAGGCGAGTTTCAAGTAGCTCATGGTAAGCTTTGGCAGATTCTTCAAATTGATCATGTTTCTGAAGGTCCAACGCTTTATGATACAAAGCAAATGCTTCTGCTTCCTAGATATCAAGACAGGCACTCTTAATTGGATTTATCTCAAAAGAGGAGAAAACATCACATTGTTTGCCATAAATCAGAAAACTATCTTTCCATGCAATCTGATGGAGCTAAAATTAGCTCAGAGAAACTGGAAGACGATGACCAAAGTTAAGTTTAGCTTCAGGAGAACAGGAACAAGTAGGGGCATCCAATAAAACACTGCAGAATATATTCAGCCTCCTCCAATGGGGTGCTCTTGTTCAGAGACCTGGCTGACATAAAATTAGGAGCTCTAGTGCTGTTTAGAATTCACACCCATTTGAGAAGTGGCTGTGGGAGACAACTTTTTCAGGAATATAAAGAATATTTTAGTCCTGTAGATGATTTTTTTGATGCAGGTTAAGTCTAATCTGAATATGCTGCCAATCAATTTTACAGAATAGGCCAGTACACTGAACAATGGAGAGAAATGCAAGTTTTTTTTCATCCTGTGTATAGTTTCAGATATATCATTCTTTCAGAACTGTTTCTAGCTTTCTAAAATGTGACTAGCAGTACTGTGTATGTGTTTTCATATTATATTTATTCCATAGTTAAGTTCTATTTTCAATCCCTTCTCTAGGGTATTCAACATGAAACTTACCTTCTTCAATGTCACAATACACTGAGTAAACACGTCAATTGAGCTATCCACCATTCCTTTCTGGGTTGCCTAATTCAGACCCCATTCATATACAGTGGTACCTTGGCTCACAAACGCATCAGTTCACGACCAAATCAGGATGCAATCAAAAATTTCATTAAAAAATTGACTCAGGTCACAAACTCCGCATTGGGTGGCGACCACGATCGCAGCCATCTCTCCATCCCCGAGTGGGGAGATGGCCGCGATCGTGCTGGGGGTGGGGGGAGATGGCCGAAATCGCGCCATCTTTTCTGCATGAGCGTGCCCATGATTGCACCACAACCACGATCTTGGCCATCTTCCCCCCTCAGCATGATCACCCCATCTCCCCCCTCCCCACCAGCGCATCTGCGAGCGTGTCCCTCTTTCCCCCCGCAGCGCCCCACCATGATGGGTGCGTGCAGGGATGACGGGCGTGATCACGGTTGTGCTGGGGGTGGGGGGAGATGGCTGTGCTCCTGCTCGGGGTGGTGGGGGGAGATGGCCACGAACTTTGTTGTCATTTTGTTTCACATTTTTCCAATTAAAAAAAATAGTTACAGAACGGATTAACCTTATTTACATTTAACCTTATGCGGAAATGTAACTTGGCTCACGACCAATTTGGGTCACGACCAGAGTCCTGGAACTGATTAAGTTCGTGAGCCAAGATACCACTGTATATCTGAAATTAGAAATGTTTGTATCTCTTTAATTACTCTGAATCTCATCTGCCATGTTGTTCCCATTCACCCAATATGATAGTCTGCATGGATTTTTACCATCCTGAATAATTTTTTGGGCTTCTGATCCATGCAGAAGTTGCCCCAGTAGGCCTGGGTGGGCTTCAACATATATTCCCCATCTTATCTACATTAGAGTCATGTCCTGTATATGAACAAAGGATAGCTAGCATGTAAACTATGAGCCACATCTTCAACCTGTATTCCTGGCATCTATGACCAGAGTGCTGGGGCAGACAGAAGAAAAAAATCCCCATAATTAACTTTCTGCTGTTTGTGTGTTTTTAACTTTTGTTAACCACCCAGAGAGCCTCAGCTATTGGGTGGTATAAAAAGGAAATGAATTGAAAAAATATGTGCTAGATTGCTGCCTGCAACTATGATCAGAGAGCTACCCTCTGGTGTTTGCAACATATGCCTACACCCCAAGAGTTACCTGACTTTTGCCCAATATGAAAGTAGCAAGGCATGAAAAAAATGAGAGGATGGAGGCATTTTCCAAGGTGGGGCTCAAACTCTATCCTCTTTTAAAGCCATTAACACTTGTGACAGCAAATTCCACAGTTGATCATGGATTGCATGAAGAAAACTTTCTGTCCTGAATCTCCCATCTAATAAGCTTCCTAGAATGATCCATTGGGTTTCAGTATGAGAAAATTTGGAGAGCTGTGTGCATCCTACATTTGAAAAGATGTATGGCGCTGATGCACTCACTATGCTGCTGCCACACTCCATGCTCCTTTTCTACAGATGGCTCTTTTTGGTCAGTAGAGATGATAACAAGGAACAATGGTTTCCAGTTATATGTAGAAGCTTCAGATCTGTGCTCATCACCTACTTTTTCGCTTGGCACAAAAAGGAAATTAAGCAGTTTTGCTTCAACTTCTGAAATAGCAGAAGCAAAGCAAAAGCAGTTCTGAAACAATAACCACTAGAAACCTGTTACATTTGAACTTGAGGGAGTGATTTGTTAAAAAATTCTGGTAAGTGCCCAGAGGTTCAACAATAACTGAATAGGGTGCTATAGGAATAACTGAAATGTTTCAGAACCATAGATTGCAATCTATAATTTGTTGATCATCACCAGTTAAGTCAGTTTTTCAAGGAGAAAATGTATTGTTCAAGCAGTATATGATGTACTTGCCCTTGCCTGTATGTGACACACCCATTATGACTGCTTGCAACTGAATGCATGAAATTGTTTCTACACTACTGTCTCTCTCTGCCAGGATATTGGATTTTAATTTGTTGCATTTTGTGGCGGTGCTTTGAGTGCACTTTTAGCTGGAAAGTGGCATAAAAATCAATGTAATGAACTTGACACAGCCTAAGCTTTTAAGAATTCTGACCTCAGTGCTAAAACGGTCTGAAGACAGTGAGAATAAGGATTAGCAGTAAGACTTCTTTCATTCCTAATTATTCATTCTTTTAGAAACATTGAAATTATTATTTCAGAAACAAAAGCAAAATCTCCTGATTGTCCCATGCAAGGACAGAGGTGAAGAGTAGTGATTTGAAGCTTGTAAATATATCAGTAAACTTTTGTTTCCTGCTAACATCCAAACATGCCTGTACAGTCTACATTACCAATGTGAGTCAAGAGATAGTAAAAGTGGAATTTTGCTTACTTGCGCCTCCTTTGTTTGGGTTTTGTGACTTTTAAAGGTACCTTCATGGTCATCCTCAACAGTGGAACTGGCATTCAATGCAGCAATCCTAATCTAGAGTGAAAAAAAATCAAAACAGCGTACACTAGAACAAACATGAGGTGGGACCGCTTAATAATAAAGAAGAGGATTCAGTGACTGATGTGAGGGAACAGGTACAGCTGCTAAATGATTATTTTGCCTCTGTGTTATCCCAGGGGAGATATACATTGAGGCCAGGGATTTAGGGACACACCCCCTAGAAGTTAAGGAGCTCCTTAGGGCACTGGACGTTACACAAGGCCATGAAGGGTAACACCCAAGGGTACTTTGGGAGCTGGCAAGGGTTCTCTCATGCCTAGTGGTCTAAATTTTTGAGACTTCATGGAGAACGGGTGATGCTACAGAAAACTAGAGGGTGGCATCAGTGGTCCCAATTTTCAAGAAGGGTAGTAGAAAGGACATGGGGAATTACAAATTGGTTAGACTTACGTCCATTGCAGGAAAGACAATGGAAGGCTCATAATAGTGAGAGATCTGGTAACCCCAGATAGGGAAGGGAGGTTGGAGGTCATGCAACACAGATTCTGCAAAAACAGGTCCTGCCAGATGAAACTTGTAGAATTCTATGACCAGGTTTTGAGGTGGCTAGATCGAGGGGACATGGTTTTCATGGATTTCAGCACCTTTGACAAAGTGCCCCATGATATCCTGGTTGAGAAATTGAGGAGTTTGAGGATAGACCAATGCACTGTCCAATGCATGTTTGATGGACCAAAAACACAGGTTAACTATTAGTGAGGAATCATTGAGATGGCAGCCAGTGACGAGTGGGGTACCCCAGGGTTCAAATCTGGGGGCAATCCTGTTTAATCTTTTCATTAACGACATGGAAGAAGGGGTGAACAGTCTGCTGATCAAATTCGCAGACCACACTAAAACTGGAGCAGCGGCCACAACTGAGGAGCAGGTACTCCAGATCCAAAAGGATCTGGACTGTCTATGGAAGTGGGCAGGAGACAACAGGATGGCGTTCAATGTGGATAAGTGCAAGGTCTTGTACTTGGGGCATAGGAATAGGTGTCATAAGTACAGGTTAGGGGACAAGTGGCTGGAGAGCAGCACTTGTGAAAGGGACCTCGGAGTACTGGTTGACTGCAGGCTGAACATGAGCCAGCAGTGTGATGCGGTGGTCAAGAGGGCGAACGCCACCCTTGGTTGCATAGCCAGAAGTGTGGCTTCTAGATCAAGAGAGGTATTACTACCACTCTACACGACTCTGGTGCGCCCACAACTGGAGTATTGTGTTCAGTTTTGGGCCCCTCATTACAGAAAGGATATAGCCAGGTTGGAGTCAGTGCAGCCTAGGGCCACAAGGTTGGTGGCCGGTTTGCAGGGGATGCTGTATGAGGCGAGACTGAGGGAACTGGGTCTCTTCAGCCTGGAGAAGAGGAGACTCAGAGGGGATCTGTTGGTGACATACAGGTATGTGAGGGGATGTCACATGGAGATGGGTAGAGACCTGTTCTCCCCTGCAGAGGAAGGCAGGATGCGCTCCAATGGCGCAAAGCTCAGGGAGCCAAGGTTCCGTTTGGATGCCAGGAAGCACTTCCTGACAGTCAAGACCCCAAGGGTGTGGAATGGGCTTCCACGAGAGGTGGTTGAAGCCCCATCGGTGTGGGTGTTCTAGGATAGGCTGGATGTCCACATGGTGGGAATGTCGTGAGCGGAGCCGGCTGGTGCCAGAGGTCAGACTAGATGGCCTGGGAGGCCCCTTCTGACTCACTCTGTTTCTATATCTTTGGGTATTGGTCAGCTGCAGGCTAAACATGAGTCAGCAGTGTGATGAGGCAGTCAAGAGGGCATACACCACACTGGGATGCATAGTCAGAAGCGTGGCTTCTAGAGCAAGAGTGGTATTACTGCCACACTATATGACTCTGGTGCACCCAGAACTGGAGTACTGGGTTCAGTTCTGGGCTCCACATTGCAGGAAGGATATAGCCAAGTTAGTGTCAGTGCAGTGTAAGGCCACAAGGATAGTGGCCAGATTGCAAGGGAAACCATACGGGGCAAGACTGAGGGAACTGGATCTTTTCAGCCTGGAGGAGACTCCAAGGGGATTTGTTGGCAACATACAGGTACATGAATGAGACCTGTTTTCCTCAGTGGAGCAGGGCAGGACGCATCCCAGTGGAGCAAAGCTCAGGGAACCAAAGTTCAATTTGGATGCCATGAAGTATTTCCTGACAGTTCAGACCCAGAGAGGTCCGCCTGGCGCCATCATTATTTGTTTTTCGGTGCCAGGCGAAGACCTTTTTATTTAAAACTCAATTTAATTGTTAACTTATTATGTATTTATAGGTTTTTAAATTTTTAAGCTGAGATGTTACTGGGTTTTTTAATTTTTAATTGTATTAATTTGTTATTTATATGTTTTAATTGTGAGCCGCCCCGAGGCTTTGTTGCGATGAGGGCGGCATTGAAATGTTTTAAATAAATAAAATAAATAAATAAAATAGGGTATGGAATGGGCTTCTATGGGAAGTGGCTGAAGCCCTAACAGTGAGGATGTTCAAGGATAACCTGGACATGCACACAGTAGGCACGTCATGACCAGAGCTGGCTGGAGCCAGGGATCAGACTAGATGGACTGGGAGGCCCCTTCTGAATTGCTCTGTTTCTAAATCTATTGTAAAGGGGTCTCCATTTTAAGCTCAAGAATGTTAGCAATTTTGCCCTCAAGACTTCCAAGGGAGATGGCTGAGGCCCCATCAGTGAGAGTGTTCAAGGAAAGATTGGAGAACCACATTTTGGGGACTATATGAGCAGAGCCATCCAGAGCCAGGGGTCAGACTAGATGGCCCAGGAGACCCCTTCTGAGTTACTTTGTTTCTATGCTTCTATTACCAAGCAGTAAAGAAAATAAGAAAAACAATGAGCAATGTATAAGGAAATAACAGCACCTTGCCAATGAGACATGAAGCTGTTTGAATTACATTTAAAACGTCTGCATTTCTAATTACTCCAAATCAATTATTCCAACAAAAATAGCTTAGACACACACTAACATCTGATAGATAGTTCTCTGGTCTGATAAGGGAAGAGATAAAACACTGTCTACATATATGGAGACTCAACCCAGAAAATGTATTACACTTTACCCATCTTCAACAGAAACCTGCAACAGGATCCTCTAAGCAAGCAAGGAGCCAACAGGTATCATACCATGCTTGGGGAGACCCAGGGGTGTCATTCACCACCTCGATAAACTCAGCCGATAAAGGAATCTAAGAAGTAAAATGAAAAATTACAGAATGTAAATAGAATTGTTTATCAATCAGTTAGAATACTTATGCTACAATGGAGCATAGGAGGATAACATTTAAACAAGCTCTAGAGAGATTTACAGAATATTGGTAATCCTCCAATAAACTTCCAAAATGAACAGTATTTAATTTGGATCAACAGCAACAAAGCTTAATAGGGTAGATTTAGCCAGATGCTTCGGGAACTGGATAATACAGAGAAATCTATAGCAAGTTTCAAAGTGCATGAAGCCATTTTTTTAAATGAAGCCAAGATAATGAATCTGGTTATATATCTTGCCAAAATGATTTTTGTTCCATTTCCATCTGATAAATCAAAAGAATTTTTGATGCCCAATTCTGCATATTGAGAATAACCTGATTAGTATAATCTGGTCATTATCTGAATGATGCGGCTTTTCCAGAAAATATTGTATGCTCTAAAGATAAGCTGAACCTTTTTTTTATCAATAACCAACAAAGGTTTAATGGCTACCCTAGGTTAGTTTTGTCTTAATTCAAAGCAAGCACTTTTCATGACATATCTGAATAAAAATTAAAGCAGTTAATCCAAACATTGTGACAATCCAACCTGGCAAGAAGTGATACACAGAAGATAAAATAACCATCCGGTTAAAAAAGGGAGCACTGGAAAGACTTCCACCCCAGACCACTGCGGAAGACAAAACCGAAAGAGCCCAGTATTTTCGTGATGCATGCCACCCTCGATATAAACTAACACCCTTGGTGTAAACTAACGTGTGAAGACTTGAGAGGCCTGCGGCCCGTCCCTCGCGCCAGCAGCAGACGCCGCCGAGATTCGGGACCAGCCGGCGCTCTTCCGCGGACGTGCAGGCAGCCCCCGCCCGGGGAGGCTGCGCGGGGACCGCGGACGGGAGGGCCCTTGCAGCGGCACCCCAGAGACTCGCGCGAGGGCGCTGCGCAGGGCGCGCGGCCTCCACCCGGCGCGCCTGACGAGGGCGGCCCCACGAGGCTCTGGAAAGGGCCGCCCCCGTTCTGCCCCCCGCGCCCGCGACAGGCCTCCCAGCAGCCGGGCGGGCCCGGACCGCTCAGAAGCTGCAGGAGGGAGAGGAGCGGCTACGTCCGTGACCCACGGACGGCCCCAGAGCTTGCCCACCGCACCGCCGCCGGCTCTCCGCCTGTCAAGACGTCGACGAACACTTCGCTGCCGCCGCCAAGCAAAGCGGGTCCCCGTTGGCCGACGCCGGCGGCCCAATCAAGAGCGGCGATGTTGCGAGGGGGCGCGGCGCAGGAGGGGGGCGTGGCCCGCTCCCTCCAAAGCGGCCGCCTGCCGAAGTGGCGGAGCGGGAGTGGCGAGCGCCGTGTGCGGCCGGCTCCACCCTCGGCCGGCGCAAGCCCCTCCGCAAAGCGAGCGTCCGCGGCAAGGCTCGGCGCTGCTTGTTTTCGCTCGCCGTGCTCGACCAAGGGTTCGGGTTCGGTCTGCTGCGGGCACGGGAATCGGAGCGAGTCCTGGGTAGCCCGCAGTCGCCCTGCAACGGAGCCCAATATTGCGCTTGGACGCGGCCCGGCGAATTCCGATCCTGCTGCACGGCTGCGAGGAGCCACCGTTTTGCGCCCCCTACGGGGAGGCGCAGTGGCGGGATCCGACGCTGCGGCGCCTGTCCGCGCCTTCACTGCCGTTTTCCTCGCCGCCCTGAGGTTTGGTAAATGTTCACCACTGGGCTACTTTGGGCCAGTCACTGTCTCAGCCTGACCTACCTTTGTGAGTCGCGAAGTCGTGTCCGACCCATCGCGACCTCATGGACAACCCTCCTCCAGGCCTGCCTGTCCTCCGCCATCCCCCGGAGTCCACCCAAGCTCACACCCGCTGCTTCAGGGACTCCATCCAGCCACCTCATCCTCTGCGGTTCCCCTCTTTTGCCCTCAATTGTTCCCAGCATTAGGGCCTTCTCACAGAACCCTAAGAATCCTTGAATTACAAACAGCCAAAAGTTTTCCTCAGTATATGTAGCAAATTGTAAATAATGAGGAAAAAAAAGCCTCACAGTTCTTGAGGCTTTTCTTGAAAGCCTCATAGTTCAAAGGAACTTATTCAAGTAAACCAAAAACAGGATGAGCGTGTTGTGGAAATAAAGATGGCAAAAGCAAACAAAATATATGACTATCCAAATATTTCAAATTAAGCATTTCAAATATATTTTATAACCAATTCTAAATATTTAAGTACCAGACTGATTTGCATCGGATGAGATGGAATGCGCAGCAGTGCAGTTTTCCTGTTATTCAGATCACTGTAATTTTGTCTTCCTTAAAAAATCTGTGAGATCAGATATACTTTCATAAAAATAACAGTGCCTTTAGCATCCCTTTTTGATGCACTTTATGTTTCATTTAGTTTTTAAAGATAAATACAAAAGCTTGGAAGCTTTTTCTTCAAAGTTTTATAAAAGCTTCCAAGCTTTTGTGTTTATCTTTAAAAAGTTTTTGTAACATTAATTTCAATAGTGTGTATCTATGGCTGACATGAAGGAAAAACTGGAAAATAGTTCTTCACTGGTTCCGTTATATGCAAGCGTGCCATCATGTACATAGTCCTCATATGTTGCCAGAGGCAGCATGCCCACCGGTTGATTTGCAGTATCTTTCACTTCTTTACAGTAAAAGCTATACCAGCTGAATTATTTCCTGGGTCAAATGAACTGCTGAAAGCATGTTGGGAAGATCTGGGGATCCCCTTCAGGACAGGTGGAATCAAAAAGGACCAGGGAGCTGCTTTCAATGTACTGCTTTGGGGGCACTGAAACTTTATCAAAGAATGGAAGGTTTTCAGGACAGCTTCAAATAAACGTTGCTGGGTTGTCATGATGTGTTATGTTCATCCACATGTGCTTGTTCTGTCTTCAAGTACAATTATTCTGAAGTCTTTAAAGAAATTAACATATCTGAATAAAACATCACAAAGACTCATGTTTGGAAATTCTTGCTGTCATTCCAAAGTTTAGTAGTACACTCTGCATAAATACAAGCAGGCCCTGGTTTATGATAAAGGTCACTTCCTGAGATAACAGAAACTCATCTGTAAGTCAGAATTGTATTTAAGTTGGATCACATATAGTCAGCTCTCCACATTTTCAGTGCAGGACTCAGGTGAAAAGTGGAAAAATAGGGCAAATATCTCTACCCCCTGCCCAAACTCACCAGTGCCTCCTCTTTACAAGGAAATGCCTCTTCAGATGGGCAGGGCAGGAAGGCATCCTTTCGAGGCCTCCCTAGCCCCCTTCTGCTTCCTCTCCATGGTGATGACGATTTTCCAGTGTTTTTTTTTTAAATTATATGTTTTATGGAGTTCATTCACAAGTACAGGTTGTTTGTAATTTTGGGATTGTCTGTACTTCATTTTAACTCCAGCAGCTGCCAGAGCAACAACTGAAAACCAAAGTTTTCAGATCACTATTAATGGAGAAGCTTAATGGATACTATATGAAAACTGTTCAAGACCATGCAATTTTTTTCATGCAATGTGGTAGCTGTTTTTGTATTATGTTGAAACATAACATAATCAATTAATTGGAATTGATTGAGATTCCAGTCTCAAGATCCTCCAGATTATGCTAATCTACTAAAAGGACTGTCTTAAGCCATCTGCCCCAATGCATCAAAGTCATTCACTCCCTGGACACAGGGTCACTTGCCTGTGAAGTGTGAGGGTGCACAGCAGCAGTTTCCTCCTGTGTCATTTTCAGCTATCTAGATCAGTGGTTTTCGACCACCACTCTGCAGATAAGCGCTGATCCACCTGAGATTTCCTGCCCGTTCATGGGGTGGCCACATGCCACTCACCACAGACTAATGCGGGGGCTGCCTGTACTCCACCTCTTCCTCAGTGGACAGCAGGATTGCGGTGTGGTGGGATGGGGGCAGGAAGGAATGGGATAGCTCAGTGGGAGCCAGCTAGACACCACACTGTGCTGCTGTTGGTATTGTGTTCTTTTGTTGGCATTTTTTGTTGTTCAGTTTCCGGTTGGAGAATTTTCACTTTTTTGGTACTGTGTTTGGAAACTAATATACAGAATACTGTATATAGTATATGGTGCTTTTTGTTTTCGCCTCTGCTGCCCCTGAGGTGGTTTTCCTGTTTTCACTGGTCCCCAGCTGTGGAAAGGTTGAAAACCACTAATCTAGATGATGCTCCATGGAGGGAGGGGAAAGCAAGCTAGGGCGCCCTTCGGATATGGGATAAGCCATTGGTCCTAACTTCCTCCCCCAACAGCACCTCACTGGCCCGCACCCCCAGGCACCCCCACCTCACCGGCCCGCACATGTAGCAGCTGCCTTTCAACTGGCCCCCTATTGAAAAAGTTTGAGGACCCCTGCTCTAGACAGAAGCATGGCCCCCCAAACATGGCATGGTAAGAGAGAATAATTTCAAGTGGAATATTTCACAAGTCTGTATTTTACATAGCTAACTGAACTGGGATGTTTGATAGTTTTCTTTTCAGATCGTTTTGCCTGTGTTCACAGTACTGAAAAAAATAATATAAAGCCTGTTTCATGCATTTTTTTCAAAAGATGATTTTAAAAAGACTCTGGAATGCGCTCCTCAGAGAAGTTTGCCTGGCGCCAACTTTATATTCCTTTCGGCACCAGGTAAAAACCTTTCTATTTACTCACTATTTTAAGGATTAGGAATTTTAATTGGTTTTTAATACAGATGCATTTTGTTTTGTTGGTATTATGTACATTGTTAATTGCTGTTATTTGTTTCTTTACTTGTTATAGTTCTTGTAAGCTGTCCTGGGATGATTTTTGTACAGGACGGGGTTCAAATATTTTAAATAAATAAGAAATAAATGAAGGAAGGAAGGAAGGAAGTTGGGGTTTCATTGCTTTTTCTAATAAAAGCAAGAACAAATTGTTCATTTTTGTAACATCTGTCAGTTTAGAAGTTTATAACCCCTACCCCATCTGATCACCCAAGTTTCCAGGAGGGCATGTCTCCATAATCCCTGAGGCACTTCACCCCTCCCCGCCGGCTGCAAGCTCCCTGTCCGGCACCGGGGCCAGGGTGGCTTGAGAACTACCCTCACCACCCACCCAGCCTGGCGAACAGGATTATACCACTGGAGGGCCGAGGTGAGCACCTGGGCCGGCTTCTCCCCACGCGCTGCCGACCTTCCCCGCTTCTCCGACCCCGCCGGGCGGAAGGACAGCACGCGCGCCCAGCTCGACGGCCCCAGGACACGGCGAAGGCCAACACGGGCTGCTCCGCAGGCGCGGCTTTATGGCTTTATTGCTTCTCAGGCGCCCGGGGCGGGGGCCGGCTTCGGGAGCCCCCCGCAGAAGCAGGCCGGCCCTGGCAAGGAGAGGCGGGCCGCAGAGGCGCAGGCCGCGGCGCGGGTGGGCGCTGGGGCCGGCGCCGGGCTCCGCTGCCTCACAGGAAAGTCATGACGGTGCCCCTCTTGCCGATCTGCCACGGCTCCAGCGGGTAGAAGCGAATGAGGATCCTTGGGCGGCAAGGGAAAGGAGGCGGTTAGCTAGATAGGCTCAGCAGGGCCGCCCGCCCGCCTCCCTCCAGCCTCTCCCCGCGGCCCCTCCGCTAGCCCAGGGTGGAGCCGTCGGATCGCCCCTTCCCCAGGCCCGCCGAGGGCCCCACAATTCCTGCCCCGGCAGGCGAGGCGGCGATGGCCCCCGGCTCAGGCCCGCCCGGCCCGCCGCACTTGCCTGTCCGGGCCCAGGGCCAGCTCCCGCGTGAGGAAGTCGAAGAGGCGGGCGCTGTGCGCCTTGTTCTGCTCCGCCGAGCCCAGCACGCCGACGGAAGAGACCACTAGCTGGGCGCAAGGCGCAGCCGAGCCGCCCAGCACCATGCGCTGCTCGCTCCTCACCGTCACGCTCACCCGCTGACGGAGAAACCGGGGCCGCGTCAAGGACCGGGCGCGCAGCGGCGCCCCGCCGAGCCCCGGGCCCGCGCGTGCCGGGGGCCGTGCTTGGGCCGCGCCTTACCTCCTCGGGCTTTCCCAGGATGGTCGCCACCTCCGCGCACAGCTTGGCCGGCAGGTCCCCGGGCAGGCGCGCCGCCGGCAGGCTCGTCTCCAGCTCCACGAAAGGCATCGCGGCCCGCTCCGCGCGCTGCACTGACGGCCGGGACGACGGCGCCCTCCCGCGCGCTCCTCGGGAGCCGCCCCCTCGGCCGCTCCGCCCCCGCGGCGCCGCGCGGCCGGCCGCTCCGGCCGGGAGGCCGTTCGCCCTGCGGTGGCAGCGCCGGGCCGCCAGGCGGCAGCTCCGGCTTTTGGGGCGGCGAGGACGCGAGAGCGGCCGGGCACCTCCGCCGGGGCCGCGCGGGTGGCTTCCGCAGCGAGCATGCGCGCGCGGCCGCGGCTCCCGGACTCGGCCCCCCTCGTTCTTGCCTTTCGCGGGCAGCCTACACCCCCACACCCGTTTGCAGCCGTGAATCAGTACCAGGTTTGCAAGGTTGCTTGATCGATCTCAAATAGTCTATGGGATGTGGGAACAACTGCGGGACTATTTATTGGATTTGTGTAGGGAATTCCACCCAGTGTGCTAGCAGGACACATATGTGTAGCTGTAGGGGAAAAATACTGCTGTGGAAATGAAGTTTTTGTGCACTTGGGGATATTAACCTTTCCTTTTCCGTGCTTTTCATTAGAAATGTTTGTGGAGGTGTTCACACGGTGGGAGCAGAGGAGTTCAGCAGTTCTTGTGTGACTGAAAACAGTGTTTAGACTCAAATGTGTGCACCTCCACTAAAGATGGTTCAGTGGTATCTTTTGCCTGGGCATAAAGGCTCCATCCTACTCTGTCGGTTCTGTCACAGAACATGAACATGGAACGAGAGAGCAAAATGTACAATACAGAAATAGGCAGACCAAAGAATGCAGGGATGAGCTAAGTTTATTTCAGCATCTTCAAGAGTATAGGCTTCATCTGGGCTTTCAGTGGTGGGTCAATGCTGATGTTCCTCAGCTCCTGGGTGTTCAGGATCCGTGAATGTGCTTCCATGAAGAGCTCCTTTCCCAGGGCTACCTCAACCCTTTTGCACCACTCCTGAAGTTTAGGGCGCCCTTCAAAGACATCCCAGCCAGCTCCCATGGGCTGCAGAAAGATGCAGGGGAAGCAGTGCTGGAACATGTAAGCCCAGGGAGGTTCTGGCTGAAGGCAGCATCTGGCAGACACACTTTTACCACTCCCCCCCCCCCACCCCGGATGTAAGCAGCATGCTTCCATAGACCTCACCTGCATGAGCTCCACAATGGCTACCAGGTCAGCCAGGGAGATTTCTGTGCCAATGATGAAGGGTCTGTCCTGCAGGAACTTCTCCTCCAGCTTTTGCAGGGCAAGGTTCAGGTCCTCCACTGCATCATGCAGCTTTTCTGGGGGTATTTGCTGACCAAGGAAGAGGGGGATCACCACCTGCCCCATACAAAATTGCTGTTGACATCCAGAGATAGGGCCAAGCATGCTACATTAGAGGGAGAGAAGGAAGCCAGGCTGCCTCAAGCCAGTGAGATTTCTGTGGAAGCTGGGGGGGGGGGGGGGGGTCTGTCATTTCTGAACCAGTTAGGCATTTCTTATGCATTGTGATTTACCTTCCTCTCCCAGGCTGAGAATGTGTAGAAACGGGTGTAGCGCCTCAGCTCCAGTGGCTAATTCCAGCCTGCTTGGATTTCTCAGATAGCCAAGCGTTCTTTCCCTAGCTATAAGATACTCACCTGGGTTTTATCATTAAAGGTAGAAATAGTTCTAGATAGATATGCTGGTATTTTGTCCCTCCCTGCTTTTGCCTTTGAACTTGCCCCCAGTGGATTGCAGCTCTCCAAAATTTCTCCAAAATGGAATTTGGCTGTCAAACTGAAAGAAGTTAAATGTATCTCCACCTACCCCTTTGCATAGAGAGCACAGGATTCTTGGACCATATGCAATATACAAATAAAACAAAGAAGGCAAATATTTCAAATTAAAGAAATGAATTCATGGAATTTGCCATTCTTGGTATTAAGGGCATACAGCATCCATCTGAAAGAAGCAGTCATCTCACAGCCAATGATGCTCTGTGCAGAATCCTGCTCCTCTTCCTGGCAAAGCTGCAGCTGTTACATGTGCATCAGCTCTGGTGAACTCTATTTGTTTAGGAACCACTGGACAGAGATGGGCAATGAGGGCAGAATCTCTTTTAAGACCCGAGAAATGGCAGCTGTCCCAATCCATGCCCTGTCCATGGGAAGAAGGAACAGTCCTAGGGCTTGTGGGGTCCAACCCTGCCCTTACCTTGAGCCACAAGATTTTGGAAGCACTGGCCCGGATGGTGGTATGTTGCCAGGCCAGGTACTCATCAACCCGGCCTCGCTTCTTCATATCAGGTGGGTACCAGTGACTGGGTGTGTTGTACTTCCTGGTCAGGTAGAGAAGAATGGCTGTGCTGTTGGAGCAAAAGGGAAGTTTGTCTGGTGGAGAAGCACTGGGGGATTCCTGAATGCCTTTTCATTTGAAAAACCCATCAGGTGTGAATTGTGCCACAGGGATTTGGAGTTGGAGAACAGGAGGCAGCTTACACTGGGACTTTCAACTTTTCAGCCTCCTCCTGACAGTAACGTGATCTGTAAGAATTCAAAGGCAATGATTTCTAAGTGTGGAGAAAGAAGGGCTACATATCCAGCAGGTGGTAAATGCAGTTGCAGCTGCTCCCAGAATGCCTCAGCTCAGCTTGGAGCTGGCACTCTGCATGGCCATCTTGCACCTCGCCAGCCCCTCTCCAGCCCAGACAATGTCTATCAGTTTGTCTTTTAGTTTTGCTCAGGACAGTCTGGACATTAGCAAAACAAGCAAGAGTCACAGTTTTAATTTGAATAAAACATCCAAAGTTAAGATTCTAGCCTTAATCAGAGCCCATAACAATTTGTAAGAAGATAGGTGGTTATTCTGTCTCATTACTGGGGTGTTTAAGTGCATTTCTTTGCACATGAAACTAAAATAAGCAAGGAATGGTGAGCAGGAGACTGCTTGTTCTCCTCCTGATGCCCATCTTCTTCCTTGAGAAATCCTTACCATTCTTCTAAGGTATAATCTCCATCCTTTAGAACTGGCACTTTTCTCAGGATGATCACCTTGTTAAATTCCTCACTGAACTGTTGTCCTAAAGTTAATAAAATAGATCACTAAAAGACAAATGTTACTCAGTGTGGTTCAGCAAAAATCTTCATACCTTTCATTGCTGTGAACCACCCAGAGAGCTTTGGCCACTGGGCAGTCTAGAAATGTAATTAACTACAGGATACGTGCCTCACTTTTTAGAGATGTATAAATGTATAATAGTTTTAATTATATACTGATTTAATTATGTTATGAGCCGCCAGGCACCCTATGACTAATGGAGTGGCTTAGGTTTAATAACAACAACAACAACAACAACAACACAACTATGTGTATGCATATATATGCATATTTGCTAGTATATATGCATATGAATGTGCACACACAGACACACATGTTATTTTTAATCAAGATTGGCTTGCAAAGCAGCTTAGTTAACCACAATGAGGTAAGAGTCTAATTCAAAATACATGAGCTCTGGCGGTAACATAGTGCCAGATTCCCAGCTTTCCAGAAGGCTACTGGCTGTTTGCCCCTTCATGGATCATGGCCTTGTCGTGACGAAGGGGCCTGTATAGCTCAATGAAGCTATGAGCTATGCCGTGCAGGGCCACCCAAGACGGACAGGTCATAGCAGAGAGCTCTCACAAAACGTGATCCACTGGAGAAGGAAATGGCAACCCACTCCAGTATCCTTGCCATGAAAACCCAATGGACAGTACCAAAAGGCAAAAAGATATGACGCCGGAAGATGAGCCCCTCAGGTCGAAGGGTGTCCAGTATGCTACTGGGGAAGAGCAGAGGACTAGTACTAGTAGCACCAGAAAGAATGAAGCGGCTGGGTCAAAGCCGAAAGGACACTCAGTTGTGAATTAATCTGGTGGTGAAAGGAAAGTCTGATGCTGTAAAGAACTATACTCCATAGGAACCTGGGATGTAAGATCTATGAATCAAGGTAAGCTGGACTTAGTCAAACATGAGATGATGACTGAACATCAACATCTTGGGAATCAGCAAACTAAAATGGACAGGAATGGGTGAATTTAATTCAGATGCAAGGGGCGGCATAGAAATGTTATAATAATAATAATAATAATAATAATAATAATAATAATAATAATAATAATGACCATCAGGTATACTACTGCGGGCAAGAATCCCTCAGAAGAAATGGAGTAGCCTTCATAGTCAATAAAAGAGCAGGAAAAGCAGTACTGGGATACAATCTCCAAAATGACAGAGTGCCTCAACCACTGATGCTGAAGAGGCTGAAGTCAAGCAGTTCTATGAAGACCTACAACACTTTCTAGAAATAACACCAAAAAATGACGTCCTTATCATCATGGGGGATTGCAATGCTAAACTAGGAAGCCAAAAGATAACCAGAGTAACAGGAACATTTGGCCTTGGAGTACAAAATGAAGCTCTATACAGTCAGTAAAAACTAGACCAGGAGCTGACTGTGGCTCAGATCAGGAGCTACTTGTTGCAAAATTTAGGCTTAAATTGAAGAAAGTAGGGGAAAGCACTAGGCCACTCAGGTATGACCTAAATCATATCCCAGATGAATATACAGTAGAGCTGACAAATAGATTTAAGGAATTAGATCTGATAGAGTGCCTGAAGAACTATGGACAGAGGTTCACAACATTATACAAGAGGTAGCAACTAAAACCATCCCAAGAAATGCAAGAAAGCAAAATGTCTGTCTGAGGAAGCTTTACAAATCGCTGAGGAAAGAAGGGAAGCGAAAGGCAAGGGAGAAAGAGAAAGATAAACCCAACTGAATGCAGAATTCCAGAGAATAGCTAGAAGAGATAAGAAGGCCTTAAATGAACAGTGTAAAGAAAAAGAGGAAAGCAATAGAACAGGAAAGACTAGAGAGCACTGCAAGAAAATTGGATATATGAAGGGAACATTTCATGCAGATGGGCATGATAAAGGACAAAATTGGCAGGGACCTAACAGAGGCAGAAGAGATTAAGAAGAGGTGGCAAGACTATTGTTGTTGTTGTTAGTTATGAAGTCAATGTCCAACCTATCACGACCCCATGGACAACATTCCTCCAGGCCTTTATGTCCTCCACCTTCCCCTGGGATCCACTTAAGCTCATATCGACTGCTTCAGTGACTCCATTTAGCCACCTCGTTCTCTGCCATCCCCTTCTTCTTTTGCCCTCCGTTGTTCCCAGCATTAGGCTCTTCCTCCTATTTGAGTTTCATCTTCAGTATCTGGCCTTCTAAAGAGCAGTCAGGGTTGATCTCCTCTAAGACTGACTGGTTTGATCTCCTTGCAGTCCAAGGGATGGAGGTGGCTAGAGGGAGTCACTGGGGCAGTGGGTGTGAGCTTGGGTGGACTCCAAGGTATGGTGGAAGACATGAGAGCCTGGAGGAATGTTGTCCATGGGGTCCTGATGGATTGGACATGACTTCGCAACTAACAACAACTGGCTGTTTGCTTGCTTGCTTATATTATTAGAATTATATCCCACCTTCTTCTTTTTTAAAGAACTCAAAGCAACTTACATCATAGCCCTCCTGCTCTCAGTCTCATCCCCACAGCAACAACTCTGTGAGGTAGGCTGGGCTGAGACTCAGTGACTGGCCCAAAGTCATCCAGTTGACCCCATGGCTGAGCAAGGACTAGAACCCAGAATGCTTGAGCCCCAGCCCCACACCCTTAACCACAACCCCACACTAACTGTTGGCAAAGAGGCCAACTCTGGGGCCTTCAGCTTATCTCTACCACTTCTCCATAATTGGCTGCATTTTGTAGCTGCCTGAATGGATCATCTCTGGTGCCAGCTTCGATGGAAATGGGAGAGAGGAACACTAAGAGGGTCTGACGGCAGTTTGCTGTTGAGGCCGCAGCTCCAGAGGCTGACAAATCGATAAACGGACACCGTGTGCACTCAAGAGCCTTGAATGAGCATGCAACATAAGGTGAGCTAGTGGGGCTCAGGCCCACCACTTGGAACGGGGCAGCTAGAGGTGACCAGGAAGGCTGCAAATGGGGCGGTGGAACTGGAAAGGGCCCCCTCCCACTTCTTCTCAGCCTGATTGTGAAAGTGAACTGCCTGCCTGAATCGCGGAGCTCTAGCTGGCTCTTACGGAAGGGCACACGGGACTTGGCAAGCCGTGTTCCCCATGCGGTGCTGGGTGTGCGACGTTCTGCATCCTCTGCGCAACCCCGAGTGGAGGCGGCGAGGGAGATATGCCGCTCCAAGAGGGTTTTTGGGACCCGCCCGTCCCTGCCGCGGACGGGGTGGGCGTTGCGGCTGGCGCCCCGCTCCCACAGTTACCCTTCAGCATCTCGATGCTCTTCATCATGAAGGGGATGTTGTTCTTTTTGGCGAAGAGGAAGACCGCCCTGCAGGGCTCCGAGAGCAGATCCAGGTAGAGCTCCAGCACCATGGCGAGGCGCGGCTCCGCCGCTCGCAGGACCAACGGAAACGTCCCCCGAGCTCTTCACTGGCCCGCGCGATCAGCAGCCCCCGGGGGCGAGGCAGGAAAGGCCAATCAGGCCACGCTCGCTCCCGGCCGGGCAGCTGCTCTCCGGCCTGGCCTCGCGCGCTCCTTCTCCTGCGGGCTGGCGGGCGGGCTGAGCCGCAGCCCGCTAGACGGGCCGAGCCGCAGCCCGCTAGACGGGCCCAGGCGCCGGAGACGAGGGGCAGGCGGATGCGAGCAGCAGCAAGCCTCTGCCGGTGGCCTGCAGGCCGCTCGGGCTGCGGGGCGGGGAGCCACCTGCAGGAGCGGCTCGGCCTGAGCCGGCGCCGGGCGGGCACAGGCTTTCCTCGCCGCTACTCCCGCAGGCCGCTCGGCCTCGCTCGAGAATGGCTTCGTAATGCCGCCCGCTGCTGGGCCGGTAGCACGCCCCGTTCTCCGTCTCATTGCCGTGAGCGAAGCGGCGCCCCACCAACGCGGGGCCCGGAGCAGGCGGCGGTTGCCTGCACCGCAATCCGCCTCCAGGGCGCCCCTGCGTGAGACGCGCGTGGGCGGCGGGCGAGCGGAGCGCCCGCAGGCTGGGGGGCCAGGGGGCACCTTCGCGGGCTTCTGCCACGGGCGGTCTCCGAGGCCGGGCACAGGTATATCAGCGGGCTATGGTGCCCCTCTTCCCCGTCGTCCGCGTATCGAGCCCGGCGGACCAGCACCTGCCGCACTGGAAGCCCTCGCCTGTACCCTGGCGCACTTCCTCCCATCCACCCATCTCGGGAACAGCTTCCTCCACTCCGAAGAAGCGCCGCCCCGAGGCCTGGAGGAGGAGGAGGAGGAGCGGGGCCACCCTCCTTCGGGAAAGGCAGGATGCCGCACCTCGCTGCGCTCACCCAGCTCCCAGGGGTTCCCAGGGCCTCCTGGTCGCTGACCCCCTTCTTGGCGAGAAAGTTCAACCCGCTGATCTCACTTTTCTTTCTCGCTGAGGTCTCGCCTTGTGCAGCTGCTGGAGGGGGCCGGGGCCTATGCCTCCTGACAACTGACCCGGGCACCTGCTGCAGTCACATCTCTGGTGGAAAGGGCTCTGCTAGGCAGGTGGGGCAGGGAAAGACCCACTTCTGCCGCTCAGGACTGCAAGGCAAGGCAGCCAGGGTCTAGCCCAGACCAAGGTGCCAGGCCCAGGGTGTCAAGCACAGCAGAGCCATCTGGGATCTCATGCTGGCCCTAAAGGGATCCCAGATAGTCACAGTCCTGCCAGGTCCACCTCTTCTCCAGCATGTGTCTTTTGTGGTTCCCCAGCTTTTAATCAGGTTTTCTTCCTCACCCAAATCGAAATGTCTCTCCTAGAGCTAGGAGAGAGAACCAAAGCAAGCATCTATTTTTGCCCCAAATGATGCCAAAGGGTCATCAAGAGCTCATCAAGGCCTGCCTATCCCATCTGCAATGCAGCTTTGGGGCTTTTGGTTGAGTGATCTGAAGCTGAGCTAGAAAGTACCTCAGACAAAGTGACATCAAGGACCCTTCCTTCTTTCCTTGAGATCTTCAGTGTTGACACATCAGCTGGTTGTGCAGGTGGGGCATAGGTACCCCCAGAGTGGAAGCCCAAGTGCCAAGGAGCTCTTTGAGTCAAAGAGACAAAGAGCTTTGCAGTGGTAGGCAACTGCCCAAGGGAGGGGAAGCATTCGTGATTGCCGTGGCTGGGAGACTGCACAACACTGTGTACGTCTTTTATTCATTCATTTCAGCATCTTCAGCAGCATTGGCCCCAGCTGCTCTTTCAGCTGTGGATCAATCTGGATTGTGCTCAACTGTCTAATATTCAGGATCAACTCATGTGCTTGTAGGAAGAGCTCCTTCCCAATAGCTTCCTCCACTCTGCTGTGCCACTCCGCTAGTTTGGGTCTATCCTTAAAGATGTCACATCCAACACCAACTGGCTATGGAAAAGGGAATAAAAAGGTTGTCATGCAGTAACACTAAAATCCACCACAGGGAAGAAAGGCCCTGACACAGATTCATGTCTTTTCAGTGTCCCCTACCCCCAACCCTGGCCCAGCGCTACAGTAGTCACATTCCCAAAAGGGGGCTCAATCCACCCTCAGCCACGCCAATCTCCTCAGTGCTTGTTCCAGTGCCCACCGTTGCCCAGATGTGTCAAGGTAAGGGACACATGCCCAGGGTGACACTCCTGCTGTATTGCGATGAGTGTCAGTGCACTGGCTTTGAGCATGGGAAGGAAAAGCTTGCCAGAAGCTAATCTGATACATGTGACTTCATTTATAGTTGTATTCGAGGAGTGTCAAATTATGCTGTTCTCAAATTAGAAACAGAGACTCCACCAAAATGAAAATAAATCTAAAGCTTTGGATGTGGCTGGTCCTCCTCTGTGATGTGTGGCCTCCTATGGAGCCCTCAGCTGGTTTCCACTCATGGTGTCCTCAGCTGATGTTTGAGGCAATAAAGGCCAACTCATGGGCTGGCCAGCAGATAACTAGGAAGATGAATTGGCCCTTCCCCAAGAACTGGTCAACTTCAAGCCTCACCTGCATGAGCTCTACAATGGCCACCAGATCTGCAAGTGAGACCTCGTTGCCCACAAGGAAGGGTTTGTCCTGAAGGAACAATTCCTCGAGCTGCTTCAGAGAAGTGGCTAGGCCCTCCATGACCTCCTGCAGTTTTTCCGGAGGAAGTGGTTGGCCCGTGAAGAGAGGAATGAGCACCTGTGTATGAAGGACAGTCTTTGAACACAAGCCTCTTATCTGTGTGCAATGCTATGAGAACTTACACTCAGAGAGGGTGCTCATACATTCAGGATCTCACGCTAAGAAATGTAGGAGATGACACACAGGCTGATCCAGCTCTCATGGAAAGGGAAAAAGTTAGTGGGTTGTTTAGATACACCTTCCAGAGAGATTGTATGTCATGGAACCAATTATAATGTGGCAGGCTCCTTTGTGGTGATCACCAAAGACCCTTTGGCAAAACATCTTTTGATGGTCAAACAATATGACTCTCCCATATTATGCCCCCATATTGTATTGTAATACCGGGAGAAAGTAAGAGGCAGAAGTGACTCCAGAGGATGGGGGAATGAGCAGGTAGCTTCTGCAGCTGACAAGTTGAAAAGGGACAAGCTAATACTGCCCAAGGGCTTGAACTAGGGGGGCACAGAAACATAGTTTTCAGCTCTTCCAGGATTATCATGCATGATTCAGTCCCAAGAAGAGACACTCCCACTACCCAAAGCAACAACCACCATTAAGTCCTTCACCTTGATCCACATGGTCTTTGGAGCATTGGCCCGAATGTTGCTCTGGTGCCATGAGAGATATTCGTCCACCTTTGCCCTTTTCTTTAGGTCAGATGGGTACCAGTGGTCTGGGGTGTTGTACTTGCGGCTCAGATACAGAAGTATTGCAATACTGCCCAAACATTCATGGAAGGTTTCAATCAATAAGGATGAAATAAGAAGAGGGTAGACCTCAGTTTCTGCAGCAGAGTTAGTTGACAAGCAAACCTAGGCAGCCAAACTACTTGTTGGCTTGACAAAAGCTGCTCTGGAGTGCCAGATGACCAAGAACTGCCTTTCTGCATTCTTCTTGAACTTCCCTGTGGATGATTCATTTACTCTGAAGTCACAAGGAAGTCTTCCTGATGGCCGTTACATCACAGCCTGACACCACCCCCATCCCTGGTAGCTTGCTACATGTAAAGCAGAATAACCTGAATGGCGGCTGGGAGGAAAGCTGTTCAGAGCTGTTCTCTGGTTAAAGCTGTGTTAAATCTGGCTCTGAATTACTCCTGGGTCTCTGGTACTGGGCCCTCTGCTCAACAGCATCTGACCATTCGAGACCCTCATGACATGCAAATGAGATAGAAATTGGGAAAGGCAGTGTATGTCAGCCTCTCCTTACCCTTCTGTCAAAATGAAGGTCTCATCCCTCAACACTGGAACTTTCTTCACAATATTTACCTTGGGCTGTAGTCCTAAAACCAAGGAGGAAGATGTAGGTCAGTCCAGAAATATACCTGGCAGAAGGTGGAAAGTAGGGGCACCCTCTTCCCTGCCAGTCCCTGGGCTCCTCTGTTAAAGAAGAGGCACTCTCATTGCCTGGGCTTTTCTATTAAAGCCCAGGGAGGATTGGCGCTTTTCCACTCCTCCTCCTCTAACATTTTTTTCAGGAATAACACTTGAAGAAACAGTTTCCAAGTGCTCGGCAAATGCCCATGTGTCAGTCCCAGTTGAGGGCATCTGGTGACAGTGATATGAACAAGAACCCTGGATTCTGTAGCAGAAATCAGACAAATTACATTTTCATAAATGCAAGATGGCAGAAGAAGTAAGAATTGCTATACCAAGTCAGATGCAAATCAGACATGATTCCAATCACAAAGTGCACTTTTTTCCCCAATCCATCATGGTGGGCATGTGGACAGAGAACATCCTGACTGAGCTACAGACTCCCAGCCTCAGGAGGTCAGATGGGAAAAACATGGATGTGGCCACTGTAGTTCATATCCAGAAATGGAACTTGGACCGCCCCTGCATGCCCGCTCAATCCTATCCGACAGGAATAATCCCATTTGGCTCACACCTGCATTAGGGCTAAACTGCTATATGTTCAATGCAGCGCTCAAGGCAGCGGTACAAAGGGGAGTTCAGAAAGGGTAACGCCCTAAAGGCAGAGTCCAGAGCAAAGCTGCATTATCTCATGGCCAACATGAAGCAATAAGCCACCGCTCCCAGCCTGGTGCAAAAGAGCGCTCTAAGGGAAGTGGCTCTGAGAGTTTCCCTGGAAAGGGCCACCCTGTTCATGCAAAGACAGGGAAACAGCAAAGGTTCCTGACAGCACTGGTTGCCCTTTGGACTTTTTCAGGCTATATTTATGCTGCACACAATGCAGGAGTAAATTCTACTAAAATTAGACTGGTGGTTTGATTTTAGGTATTTTTTAAAAATGCCTGTCCCATCTTTCATGCTCCCTCCCTTAGAAGGCCTTGTGCAGCTCCTCCAACTTTTAATAGATTTTTTCACATTAGGAAAAAAGATGGAGTGGTGAGAAAACACAGGGAAGGTTACAAAGGGAGGTGATGATGTCCCCTTCCTATGCTCCCCCATAAAACCTCATGAATAAATCAGTGGAGCTTACACGCAATCCAAGGGCCTGGAGTGGCCTCATGGATGACCCTTGTATCACTGAGGCCTTAG